AATAAACACCATGATTTTCAAAAAACAAAACCAATAACACTTTAATATAGATTCTGTTCTTGTCACTACAAGAAATACACATATACAAGCCATAAATAGGAATTACACAAATGATTGAACAAATCCTGCGATGCGTTTAAAGTCATTTCGGAATTTCTGCAGAAGTAAGCCATTATACAGCGAGTGTGTGTCTTTGGGGTCCATTCCTCGTCACATTATTTTTATTATTATTATTATGAGTTTTATCATCAACATCCTCTTTCAAAAAAAATTAGGCTACTAACAAACTTGACAACTAAAACGGTGAGAAACGTCCAAAATATCATATTGTACACAAAGTCTATATTTTTTTGTTTGTTTCATGTTGGTTTGCGTTTTTTTTTTTTTTTACAAATATACAAAGAGGGGGAAAAAAGTCCACGTTGCAAGTTTATGAGGAGTTCATAATTGGCCTTGAATAAACGCCTTGGTAGTAGGATGTGTCGGGTATAGATGCAGAATCCAGACCGGCTTTCCCCGCCATGGAGCCCATAGAAAGCGCCCCGGCCATCGGGGAGCCGTATCCAGAGTAGTGCATCACCTGCTCGTAAGTCTTTAGGTCCATTTTGTGGTGCTGCTGCTCCGAGGACATGAGGTTGTTGATGGAGAACGGGTGGTTGAACGAGTAGTGGTGCTCCGGCTTCAGGTGCGCGTCGTGCGTCAGGACCGAGTGGTGCTGCGACATGAGGTGCTGCTGCTGCTGCCCCTGCGACACCGGGGAGGTGGCGGTGTGCTCCGGGCTCAGGGCCTGGCCCGCCGCCTTCATGTCCGACAGGGACCGCTTGTGGTCCGCGGAGGACGAGTTGGAGTGCGGGGACTCGTTGCCGTTGCAGCTCTCCGAGCTGGAGTTGGACGAGCCGCCGTCCGCGCCTTTGCGCCCGGAGTCCTTCAGCGTCACCTTCTTCTCGCACTTGAAGCGCTTCTGCCGCCTCAGGTAGCAGCCGTTCTCGAACATGTTCCCGGAGTCCGGGTGGAGAGTCCAAAACGAGCCTTTCCCGGGTTTATCCGGCGACCTGGGCACTTTGAGGAAACAGTCGTTAAAAGACAGAGAGTGGCGGATGGAGTTCTGCCAGCGCTGCTGGTTCTGTCGGTAAAAGGGGAACAGGTCCATTATCCACTGGTAGATCTCGGCCAACGTCAGCATCTTACTGGGAGACTGCTGGATGGCCATGGTGATGAGGGAAATGTAGGAATACGGGGGCTTGGCGTGCGTGTAGCTCCTGCGGTAAGTCTTGGGGTCTCTGGATCTGTTGATGTTGGACTGTCCGTAGATGGGGCTCATGGCGTTCATGTTGGTGTAGGACGTGAGGGCGTTCATGGACGCGGGCTGCGCCGTCATGGGGCTCATGCTGGGGCTCAGGGCTGCGCTCATGGCCGTCATGCCCGCGCCCATGCCGTTCATGGCTCCGGTGCACGGGGACATGCTGGTCATGGAGGGGCTCATGCCCGTGTTGACGTAAGACATGTTCATGGAGTTGGCCGTCATGTTGGCCGTGGTGCTCATGCCGGACATGCTCATGTAGGTATTCATGGAGTTCATTCCCAGGCCTGTGTTCATGTTGCCAACCGAGGTGTAACACTGTGAGTGAGGAGGGAACAAGGCATTCATGAGTGAAGAAACACTGCAATAATTCCTGCACACGTATTAAACCTAAAATATTTCATATGTAATATTTAAAAATATTGAAATAATCTTTAAGAAAATTATATTCTATAAAAAAGTCATTCATTAGTAGAATATTAATACTGACAAAGTACATAAATAAAGCCTGCGCTCACACAAACAGCGACAACGCACCTATCTCCCCCTAAACCAAACACTACAGGTGTTTATTGAGTGTAACAAAAAGAGGGGGGTAAAAATAAAACAATCTGATTTAATATCCGAGTGAAAAAGCCCCCCCTCCCTACTACATGTCAAGCAACTTTGTTAGGATAGTGCGCTGCGCGGAGATGGGGGAGGATTTGGAGGCGCCTCAAGTCAATATTTGATCACAAAGTTAATATTATCTCAGGGCTAATATTGAGTTGTATAAAATGGGATCGGCTTTAGACGGGGAAAAGAAATATATATTTAAGGGTACCCACCTCGGGCTCTCCGTAGTAGGTGCTCCAGTCGGTGTGTTCGTGTCCTTCCATTTTAACTGCTCCAAGCATCATGGAGGACTTTCACAAAGCGTCTCCCAGCAGAGGAAAAGCCAGAAAAAAAGTCTCTCTAATAGCAGGTGACTGGGGACAACTGGGCGGGCTCGGGTCGTCGGTGGGTTCCCCCGTCGTTGASGACTGGTGCATGTGTGTCCCTGACGGAGGCAGCCGTGATGCGCCCGTCGGTGACTGCAGTCCAAATGACGCGCCGCGCTGCTTGTTAACGCTGTGATATAGCTCTGTGCGCCAGGCAAGCCTCCAATCCCCACTTCTACGCCTTGGGCCCTATTTGAATAATCTCCTCGCACCTAGGCGTGAGACTCCTCAAGCTTCCACCCCACCCCCCCTCCTCTTCTCCTCCTCCTCCTCCACCTCCACCACCCCGATTGTACACCTGCGCTCCCTGAAAAGAACAGTTTCGTATGAAACGCTTCATTATAAACTAATCTTATTGTAAGGGGGGGGCGACTATAAAAAGGAATGTTTGGCACACTCCAAACATTACGCACATCCTCCAACGAGCTTCTTCCACTTCAGCAAATCAGAACCAGTTTTTACGAGCCACGTTTTAGGAATTTATCTCATTTTTGCTTCTAATTGTTGATTTATTTATAAGTATATATATAAAAGACAGAACATGAAGACATCGGGAATAGGCTGATCTGGCATGTTAAGGAATCATTTCAGGGAAATTAAACTATAATTGAAAAGTTAGACAAAAAAAGGCAAAAATTTACATATTTTATATTTTTCTTTGTTATAATGTAAGCTAATACAAATCAGAAAGCACWTAAATGCACGTATAAGTGCAGCGCACAATGCTGTTAGTAAGCTATAATTAACATTTTACTGAGAAACTTATAAATTATTTTATATCATCTTAAACCAGATGTTTTATTTATCAGCATTAACTAAATCAATATGCTTTTTCCTTAAATATTTATACAGACATTTCCTCCAAAATCTAAGATTGGAACCTGATTTTTCAACATTAATATCTGAATTAGTTTCCATATTTTTTAATTAGTCTTTTATTTGTTATGGCACAGCTTCAGAGCGCCCTCTCTCGGATGTCACCTCTAACTGTCTCTAAATGTTCCTCATAATTTGGAATAATTTTATGTCGGTTTTTCATTCCCACTGTTTTATAGAGCCAGAAAATATACGATCATTTCAATTAGCTAAAGCAGAATCATTTCAAACTCCAAACTTGGGGTCAAATTTTCCTTCTTGATCAGAATAAAAATGACATAATTTAACTGCACTTCTCATTTTTTGTTTATGTTGGTTTTTTATTGTCGCTCGTTAAATACCAGAAGTTTACCCAACGTGTTAATCTTCTGTCAAAAGGTTTGGAGAGGCCCGGAGYGTTAAAGGGCCCCTCTAATTCCCTCACGAGCCGTACAGTATTTGTATGAAACAAACATCAAGGTGAGGCTGCAGAGAGCCGACAGCCACGTGTCGCTGCTTGGGCATCTATTTGACTGCATATTTACGCACGAGCATAACTATCAGTGTAGAGCCCCATTAGTAAAGGCGAGTAAACCTGTCGTGTTGACGAGGGACCAACAGAGTCTGCTTAACTTGGAAATGAGATCACGAAAGGAAAAAAAAAAAAGCTCTGTGTTTGAGGATTTGGGATTGCAGCGATGGAGAGGCAGGAGATGCGCAAAATCTGCGCTTCCTCGGCCTGACAGGCAGCTTTAAGCGCAGAATATGTGCGAGTTTTTTTTCCAATAATTTCAGTATTTGGCTGTTTTATATTATTATTATTATTTCACGTGAAAATAATTAAACTGAAATACAGGAGTGTTGCATGAGGCCTTAATAAAAGTGGACTGAGCATCAAAACAACAATGTTTTTAAAGAAATAACAGTCGTTTTAATTTTGTTACACAAATAAGCTAAAGGTCAMTTTTGTGCATGCAAGGAGGCACGAACCAGTTGTTTGCTCGTGTTACACAATCAAAAATGAGGTTTTCAAAAGAAAAGTGTTTTTTTTTTTGTCAAAGAATGAAAACTGACCTCAGCAGCTTCAATTTAGTTCCAGTAAAATGGCTCAAAACTAAGAAGTTTGTTTCAAAATTACAGCTAAAACTTRTAAAATATTCCCAATAATAATAATAAAAACAATCCATGACCTTTTGTTCCTGAGTGAGACGTGCTGCCAATTCCATGTTGATCATCAACCTGCCAAAGTCCTCTCACGCAGGTGAAGGCCACATTTTGGATTTAGTCAAAAACAAAATCCTCACATGACCTTCCTCTATCACACTGATTTCCATTTCTCCTTGCTTTTTTTCTCTGTAATGCATGTTTGCTTTTATATTAGTCTCCTCACAGCAGTTACTGAACTGATGAACCTTTGGCAMAAACAAACTGAGCAAACATCTTCCCAGGTTGGAAAAAAAATCCCTCAGTGTTTGTTACTGAGGTTATATTTCGTGGCTCGATGCAATCTGTTTTACGCAGGCAAAAAGTAATACTTCAAAAACTGTTGATTTATTTTTCTAAAATCGGGGGAAATTTGTCAAATTTAAGCATCAGCTGTGTTAAAATTGTAGCAGTCTTGAAAGCACACTCGTTAGCTTTTTCCAACTTTATAATTGGATTTAAAACATTTTGTCAAAATCCATTAATTCAAATGCTAAAACTTGCTGTGCAAACAACATAAAAAATCATTTTTTTAGACATGAAGCTTTAATTAGGAGTTAAAGCTGATTCTAAATGATGACATGATAAACATTAAAATGCTAATTCATTGTATTTTTTCTGAAGCTGTGGAGGGGTTTTGGTTTTAGAATCTTTCTCGAGTTGTTTCCAAAATCCTATTTATTTCATCATCATTTGAATCACTTCCTTTATAATAGCAAGAGGCCTGTAATAAAGGTTTAAACCACGGTTAGAGTCGAATGTAAACAGTCAGGCTTCTAGTTTTTTTATGTCACAGCTGATCTTATTTTGCAAAATTAAAACTTTTCAGTATTGATTCCAGTGCAATGATTGACAACCTTCTTGCATCATGTTGTGTTTAACGTTGCAATAAAGAAAACAAAATGTTCTTAACTTGCTTTAAAAAGAATGAGTCAAAACCTCCAGTCATTGTGAACCAGCTGTAGAAGAACCAGATTTTTTTTTGCCACTTTCTCTGATCACTTAGTTTCCATAATGAGCAGTGTTACATTTYACACATTAGGATGTCGTTACTTTACTGGTCGAAACAAAAGAAGGTTAGAGAAGWGAATGCACAACACCTGCGTGTGCAAGACCCTAAAGTCACACTCAGGGGTTTCCTGAAGTTCAGGGGAAAGGAGGGGTGGTGGAGTAAACAAGGTGATCTCCGTTCTGCGAGAGGAAGGCAGAACTCTTTCTTCAAACGCCAAGGAGTAGTTGGCGAGAATGTGCTAATTTTCAGTTTCAGCTTCTTCTTTTTTTGGGGGGTCTCAGCTGAAACTAAAAGATCCACTTAGACTGCTCCTTTGTTTCCCTCTGAGTACACCGAGTCACACAAAGCAGCAAAGGGCAAGAGGTTAAGCATGTCATTCATCAAAATAAAAATTAATAATGAGAAGGTCTCCCTTTTGCAAAATGTTGGGGGGTTAAAAAAAAAGATGTTTACTGTCAACTTGCCTGTGGTGACAGTAAACATTCCAGAGCGGGGCTGGAGTTTGGACTTGCCATTATCTGCCACAGCTGTGACAACGCCTGTTGGCTGCAGGTTTGTGGTTGGCCACGCTGTGTTTACCTGGAAATGAATCTGAAAAGCGRCTGGACTGGGAAGGCACACAACCGGGCTAAATAAAACTGAGAGTGGTCATTGCACTGAGGGGGGCCAGTGGGAGGGAGTCCAGGGTTATTGCGGTTGGTGGGTCGGCACGCAAACACCGGCGTAAAGGCACTAAGGATATCCTCGAATAGGCACCTTTTGATATTGAGAGGAATGTGTGGAGGAATGCCGTTTGATACGTTTCATGTTGACTGTAACCAAGGCATCGCAGGTTCAATACTTGTCTCTTGTCATGTTAAAGGATCCTTGTTGACCGCTGCCCTTCATCCATCAGTCACAGGAGGAGGAGGAGGAAGGATGATGGCAGATATGATACTAAAGCATGCATCAGGGTTTTACCAACACGTGAAACAGGGTTCTGTTTAGTAGTGAAAACTAGCATCTTGCTGTACAGTATTGTTTTCTTGCTTTTATTTTTCCATGCATTTACTACAGTGTACTTTGTGCTGTTTTAGCCATTCCTATCAGAATGTTTGGCTCATTCAGGAGCTGACCTTTGTTTTTATACCTTTCTAAGTATTTACCATTATACGTATTTGCTTCAGCTCTGATTTTATCTTCTTTTGCTACTTTAAGTTGTTGCCTATAAATTAGCTACTTTAAGGATGGCTTTAGCTTCTTTCTGCTTCAGTTAACTTTTAGGTAGTAGTTTGTTGCTTTTAGCTATTGTTCTGTTGGTTTCAGCTTCTTCAGCAAATGTCAGCAGCCATTCAGCATTCACACAGCATTTTTACAGAAAATACTACTACTTCTACTACTACTACTTACAATTACAGCTGCAACAAAGTGTTGTACATAATTAAAAGCATGAAAAACACAAAGCAAAGATTTAAAAACAATTAAAAACAATAAAATAGGAATAAAACAAAAATTAAAAACAAGTCTCAGGCTGTGCCAAGAAGCCAGGGAGAAATGTGTTTTTTTAGAAAAGTTTTAAAATACAATTCCATAGTTGTTTCCACAAAATACTGTCTTTCATGGTATGCAAGTGTCTGACCCCACCACTATAATAAACTTATATTTATTAATAATAATAAATACTGACTGAAGTACTGAAGAAAAACTAATAAGCAAAGAATGGCTTCAAACAATCTAACATTTCTGTTTTAATAAGGTCTTAAAGCACAAATGTGTCRTTTAAAAATAAACGTGTAGAAAGTGGTGCCAAGTGTGACACTCTGTTATCCCCRTGGGGCAATTTGTGTTACAGCCAGCAGAAAAGAACATTCGTCAAAAATAATACCATTAAAAACTATCATGATATAGGCATATCYACTAACAAACACAACACTTAACAAGAACRGCAAGTAAGAATGAATTCTTAAATCTGTTGGTGCATCTTTTTAAAGCAAATCAGTATGAGGTTATCATAAATCTGTGTCCTGCTGGTAAAAGGGGGTGGTTCGGCTCAGCTGAAATGACCTGTGCTTTCTTAARGGATCTATTTCTGTGGAGAGTAGAGATGTTATTTAGTGAGACATTGGCAATTTTACTGCA